TTTTTCGTCAACCGAAGGGATAACGCTACGAACAACGGTGAGCAGGGAAAACTCCACAAGGAAGCAGCGCTCACACCCGCCCGCTCTTGCTCATTGGCCCCAGTCTCCTCCCTCGGAAAACGCGTCGGGGCGGTGATCTTGAGTGGTACACCTCCAAATAAGGTAAGAGAGTGGGAATATGATTGAAAAGAGATATATTGCTTACTTTTCTCGGGCCAGGACACTTGTGAGGCCGTCAGGGAAAGCGGCTGAAAGAGGCAGCAGCCTCAATATCAATGACCGCCGCAAACGTTGGGCCGCGCCGGAAAGCACGCCGCAGGGGGTCAATCGGAAAGATTCCAAGCTCGGCCCGAGTTGGCTTGATTACTCTTGGGCCCAGCATTGGCGACCAGCGAGTGAAAACGCGTCAGGCCGTGTCAGAAAGTAAGCCGCGGCGAATAGTAGGCAAGATGGCCATTTCGGCCCGAGTTAGCCAGTTCCTTCTGGCTCGTTGGGCCCAGCAACGAGCCAGCATCAGCGACCAGCTCGAGGAACGCGTCAGGGTGAGCGGGCGGTCTCTCGGAAGGAAAGAAGGTGAGCAGCACAGCCTTTCGGCGTCGATCGGCGGCACGTGCCCGTTGACAGCGGCCTTTTGCTCAACCGCCCGCCATGTCTGCCACCCCCAAGCTCGAAATGGGTCTCTCGGAGGGCATTGCGCGCTGCCGCGAAGGCAGGAAACGAGCCGCACTCAAGCTCTGACTAAGTACTCGACACTCTTGGGTCAATCCCGCAACTCTGGCGCCAAACGAGCCCGGGCCGCCTTGCTTGCCGCCCGCCACGACCCTATTGTCGGCTTCGTCTCCTGCTTCAATGCCACTCCTTCCGCGCCTGCGGCCATCTCCCCCTTACTGCCGAAATCAGCGCTGAATAAAACTGTCAGTCTTGTAAAATTGTCGCTTACAACACACTCATTCACGACTCTGCCCCTCCAATCGTGTTGCCAACGTGCACGGGCGGCATTCCACCCTTCTGAGCGGGAGTCAGCGGCAAGACACCCCTCCTTTTCCGTCGTTTGCCACGGGCTCGACACTCCTTTGACAACGTCAATGCGATGGGCGACTCTGCCAAGATCGTGCCCAACTGGTCCACTGGCAAACAGTCAGTAAGATGAATACACGCAAGACGACCACGCACGTTGACGGCCGTCCATTCCTCACGACTAGTCGACTCGACCACGATGCTGGCGCCTACGCGACACGGTCTCAGCAAGATAACCAATATCAATAAACACGACTCACTTTGGCCGACCACATTTTGAAGACTACGGCAACAATTCCCGAACTGACGAGCAAGATGGAACAGGTCAGGCAATATTTCCGGGCCGTGGCGATAACTCACCTCGCCAGTCTGGCCCTTTCGCTTCCGAGCGCGCCGAAGTCAAAGTGAGAATATGAACTTGGGCGGCGAATGATGGAGATTAGATTTGAAGCCGTGCTGCTTTGGCACTATCCCGGCGCCCCCCGGTTCGGCTGACCAGATCTTAAAGACTGCGGCAAGGAGTACTGAGCAAGATGCCGACAAAATCAAGAAAGCGACTCACCTGTCGCAACCACTCGCTGCCGAAAGCTATAAGGTATGTAAGGCCATGAAATCGCGTCAGAGATAACTGAACCTGAGAGGCACGGCAACAACGGCTTACTGAACCAGGTAAGAAACAGGGTGGGGAAAAACGAGCGGCAACTCACCTGCCGACAATGACAAGCCCGGCCCCGCCAGCTACCGAGCGCCGTCCGGAATTCCACTTAACAAATAAAGACCCATATATAACTCCCCAATGGCGGCGAGGACAGCGGCGGGGCGAGGAGTACAACGACGACACCATCAGCATTGACTTGGATGAGGAGGAAAGCGGGGGAGAGGAAAAGGGAGAGAACGGAATGATGGAAATGTCGGATTGGGGCTGGGTTTTATACCCAGTGCCCGTCGGCGCCGACATAAACGAGCTATGGTGATCGCTCACCGGATAGACGCTTCGCTGACAGTTGGACCTGGGCGATCTCGCCACTGAGGTAATAGCGTGGAATCCGGTTTTGTGGGAGTTAGAGCACTTTCGGTACAGGTCTTTGACAATTAGCTTGTGTAGGTACATAAGATATCATACTACTGCATGTTTAGACAAGTTTCAGACTTGATAAGACTCTGAAAGAGACCAAAGTTTGAAAAGTAAAGTTTGAGAATTGGATATGAAATACGACATGCCTGGACAGCGGAGCGCCCGAGTGACATCAGGGATGATGTTGCCATAAGGCCTAGAGCGTTCTATGCTGAAATGGTGCGATTTTCCCGCTGATAAACACGGAACTTTGGGGTGATGAATGAAATTGCGGCGGAGTAGGAGAATATTTGGGGAATCGGAAGCGGCCAGGTGGGATGAATGTTCCTTCACGTGAAGCCCTGAAGATTCGGATGTAATCGGCCCACTCCCAGGCTCAGAATCCCACGAATAAGCGAAATAGCGCACCTAGGCAATATCACATAGTGCAGGGGCTCTTTTCCCATGGATAAAAGTCTGGGTCGACAAAGCGCTTACGTAAGTATAATTCTTGAAAATTTGAGGGAAATCGGAGCATTTTTAGCTATAGAACAGCTGTTGAATGGAGAATTTCCCTTTTTGGTCGGAGGCGTTAGTATGCGATAAGATCACGTGACCGGATCGCGGAGCCTGTGTTCTCCGACCTGTGTGTGTGCGCATTATGAAACTTTTGACACCTGCCCACTGTCATGGGGATCACTGACTTTGATTCCTTCTATCAAGAATTGCCATAAGCAAGTTTTGGAACAAATTAAGATTTATTTTCAAAATGCATGTTTCCAGCTGTCAGAAGTGATACCTCACACAATAGTTGACTGGGAGAAGCAGGAGAGCAGATATACTAGAGATTCAGAAACGTGAGAACTGACATTAGCATAGCCACCAATGTCAGATCAAGGACAATTTGACAGGACATGTCAAAGCTTGCAGAGGGGACAGGGCACTATTGCCTGGGAGTGCAGTCTTGAAAACTTCAGGATCTGTTCTCTAGTAGCATAGGAGCATTGTGACCAAGCAACAAAAGTAGACATCAAGAAATGAGAAAGATATTCAAAATATATCTTTTAAAACATTTGTACAGGCATTCTAGCTGATAGTGGTCTGACGGGCCGGGCTTTGTTGGGCCTGGGCCAAGGAATTCCAAGGCCCGAGCCCGAGGCCCTTGACAGGCCCAGCCCGAGCCCTCGGGCTTTAAGCCCGGGCCCGGCATCGCTACAACAGAAGCCCGAGGTCGGGCCTTGGGATTTCCCAGGCCCGACTAAGCCTGAGCCCTGATCCGGGTCGGGCTTGGGCTGCCCGACGCGGGCTGGGCCGGGCTTCAGGCTCAAAGCCCGGCCCGGCAGACCACTACTAGTGAGGGTGACAGGACTGACCAAGGGAATAAAATGGGAGAGTATAGTGCATATGATCTTTGATCTGTGACTTGCCTGATGTGATCTGACCTAGAAATTTTCAGTTATGAAGAAATTGATGTTTTTGAGAAAAAGTCCTGCTTTTGCAAGCAAGTCATGATTGTTCTGTAATCTTTGATGTCACTGTTGAGTAGTCTCACTAATGATGCCATCAAATATCAGGATTCTTCCTATATGACAGTGGAGCAATCTTATTTCATTTTTACCTACTTTCTGTTTTTCATGTGGTTCAAACCAGTCCCACAATGACTTTTTTTGGGCAAGAAAGGCAGCTGAACCCAAGTCCTGTCCAGTTCTGGTTCAATGTCATCACTAAGACTTTTTATTTGATTTTTAACCACTTTTTGTTTTTCCAAAATTACTATTATAGGCAAACCCCAGTTCAAAGCAGTCCTAAAATGACCTTTTTTGGGTAAGAAAGGCAGCCAAACCCAAGCCCTATTCAGTCTTGGTTCATGCCATCACGAAAAATTTTTTATTTGATTTTTACCCACTTTTTCTTTTTTCAAAAATTACATTTCTGGGCAAACCCAGTTCAAACCAGCCCGGAAACTGCCTTTTTTGGGCAAAAAATCTAAGCTCTGGTTCAGTTGGGGGTTTGAACTGGACCTGGACATCACTAATCTTCACTAAGCAAAGTTTTTTATTTGATTTTTACCTACTTTTTGTTTTTCCGAAAATTACTATTCTGGGCAAACCCTACCTCAAAGCAGTTCTCAAATGGCCTTTCTGGAGCAAGAAGGGCAGCCAAACCTGAGCCCTGGTTCAGTTTAGGCTTCAACCGGACCTGATCATCACTAATTTTCACCAAGACTTTTTTATTTAATTTTTACCCACTTTTTGTTTTCCTGAAAATTACTATTGGCTCTCAATAACACTTTTTTATCTGATTTTTACCCACTTTTTGTTTTTCCGAGAACTACCATTCTGGGTTCAAAACAGTCCTAAAATGGCCTTTTTCGGGAAGAAAGGCCAAACCTCTGCCCTGGTTCAGTTTGGGTTCAAACTGGACAAGTTTTATTTAATTTTTATCTACTTTTTGTTTTCCCAAAAATTACCATTCTGGGAAGTGATGTGTCGGCTGATATAATGCAACAAAATATTTTTATTTGATTTTTACCCATGTTTTGTTTTTCCATAATTGCCATTCTGGGACATAATTCAATGATGAGGCTGCCAAATGTCAAGGATAAGTACCAGACCTATGCAGAATTTGAACTTGATCATGTTTCAGACTCTAGACATATTTCTGAGATTTTATTTGAATTTTACCAACTTTGCGGAAATTGAACTGACACTGCCAGATTTTGAGTTTTGCACATTCCAGAATTTGAGTACTGCTTTCAGGACGTACAAGCCATCAACAGACATGCCGCGACAATGTACAGTCTAGACCATCAAAAGCTCAAGCTCCGATCAAATATTCCGTGAAGGTGACCATTGGTCAGTCACATCACATCCATACTCTCTTTCTCCCCTCATCCTTTCCCCCCTCGTCGTCATTATGTCAGTAAGTGTTATTGCTTGCCCTGCATTGGAGCTGTGTTCTGGCTCTGCTCATAGGCTCTCAGCGAGTGCCAGTGGCCATATATACCCGGGTCTGCACCAGTTGCAATTGGCTCTGTCGTCGTGGTGTATCGCTTGACCCATGTCTAAGTGCTGGTAGGCTCCCACTAGCGCTGTCAGGCTCTCACTGTCCCCCGGTGAGTCTTTTCTTCTTCATTTTTTTTGTTCCCCTTGCTGCGCTGCTCTTGGGAGGGGAAACCCTGGCCAAAAGTTGAAGAAAGTGCAGAATGGGCATAGGAACCCAGAGCACGCGTCGGAATATCTTAATTGACGCGTTTTCGGGTACATCTCATGTTTTCTCCAGCCAAAATTATTGTAAAAATCGCGCAAGTCCGAAATTAAGTGTTGAAAGTGCAGTCACGTGATCGCGTGGACTTGGCATGGAAGAGGACACACGTCGCACGCACGTCGGCGCAGGCAGGCACGTCGCACATCGGCGCAGGCACGCAAACATGTTTATATAATATATTGTATCTGCAGGTCGCATAAACTATGGGCAAATCGACAAGTGCCTCCAGCTCCAACTGTTTCCCCAGCTTCCCGGCCAGCACGAGGACACGTTGGTCGCTGCCCCAAATGAGGCCTTCCACATGGTCACGAGCGTAGATGGAGACGAATGCGATTGCGGCTGAGATGTCGAGTTTGGATTCGGGAAGGGAAGTTGACTGGGCTAGTGCAGAGGCTATGGAGGCCCGCGTTGAGGTTTTTGTGAAGGCGAAAGGCTTTTCCATGCTGCAGGTGATGGGTAGGGAGGAAGACGGAACATCACAAACCGTCACAGAAATTTCTTGTCTTCGCCCACGATCTGTTCCGGTCGTACTTCCTGCTGAGTCAAGTTGGACAAAAGAAAAGGCCGGCATCGGCAAGAAGAATATGCATATAAAGCGCGTTGGGCACTCCGGATTATCATGGCGACGACTCCTGTGTTTCTAATCACTGGGTGCTCCAGCGGTCTTGGGTACGAAATGTCTAGAGGTACGAGTTGCTTTCTGCTTTTCCCATTCATTGCTCTGACACTGCGACCAAGCCGCGCTTGACCGTGGATTCAGAGTGATCGCCACCGCAAGACGCGTCGAAACACTCCAAACATTGAAAGAGCAAGGCGCCACAATACTCTCGCTCGATGTTACTGCCCCCCGCGGCGGATCTGGTAACCTTCGCACAGAAGGCGTGGGAGATATAGTGCGCCTACTTTGTTGTCCCACACTAAATGACTTTTAACCAATTCACAGCGGACAAGTTGATTATCTCGTTAACAACGCAGGGTATGTCCAAGGCGGCGCCATCGAGGAAAACACACCGGAAGAAACTCAGAAGCAGTTCAACACCAACGTCTTTGGCGTCCTCAACCTCACCAATGCATTTTTACCCTACCTCCGCAAACGACGGTCTGGAACTCTTGTCAACATTAGCTCCATGGGCGGCTCGTTAAGCCTCGTCGGGGCCGGCGTTTATTGTGCATCCAAAGCAGCCATTGACTCCTTCTCCGAAACGTGGAGCAAGGAGCTTGCAGATTTCAGCGTCAGGTGCATCTCCATCCAGGTTTGTCTGTGCGTTTTTTATGGCAAAGCCCGCTCATCGGTTATGTAGCCGGGCATGTTTCGAACACCCGTTTCCAACTCCACAAACTCCCAACGCGGGTCCCGCCATATCCCAGAATACATCGCAGCCAACGAGACAATGGTCGGCTACAACGCCCAAACTGGGACAGAACGCGGTGACCCGGCGAAAGGCGCGGCCCGAATCGTCGAGTTTGTCACGCAGACCAACGAAGATCTACCATTTCGCCTTGCGATTGGGCCCGACGCGTTTGATAACGTGCGAGGGGCCTTTGAGAAGCGCATTGCTGAGATGGACAGGTTCAAAGAATGGAGTATGGGGACAGACTTTGAAGACTACGTGGCCGATCCTGCAGCTTACACGATCTGAATAATAGTCGATTACGTTCATTGCCAGAGAGCGTCACGACAATCCTTACAACCCTTCTGTTCATCTGAATCATCAAAATTCAGCCGCTGCCCTACACATTACTCGTTTCTAAATTTATTTGCAGACGAGCCGCGACTGCAGGTCTGGCCGAGAACTACATAGTCTGAATCCGGATCCTCCACTGGCGCCTCGTTCAATGAGCTTGAGCTCCCCCGGTGGCGGATCTGAGTGTCGTGATCAAAAAAGTGCCTCTCCAATAACATACTCCGCGGCGCCCAGATGTGCTGATAAGCCAGCGAAGCAACGATGTTTTCCGTGGCGGTCCCGTCTGCGAGACAAGATTACAAATTATAGGCAAGGTTGAATATGACTGACCCTAGGTAATATAAAGTACAGCGCCATTCCATGCTAAGTATCCTTTGCCGAGTTGTGTTTGCGATCCTCTATTCCCATGCCGTTGGACCCTACGGCCAGAAAACAGGTACCGTCCTTCACAACATAAGCAGTGATCCAGTACCTGCCACACCGTCCGTGAAGCAGAGGCAATAGACTGACCTATTGAAGGACGCTCGAGGCTGATGTGAAACCGTTGGGAGAGAACGCGTATGTTGCCGGCATCGGGGTTGAGTTCGAAGGGGGAATGGCTTTCGACGCCGTCAGTACAGACACATAGTCAAACGACGAAAAACATACGGATGAAGTACTCCCGACTCGGCAAGCCAGTTGCGCGGCCAGGCTAGACCAAACTTGATAAGGAACCGGAAAGCCTTTGACTTTTGTCAGTGAGCCAGTGTACAAAAAGGACAAGTAGCGGAACTGACTGGTAAACAGCGCAACCGGGCGCACGCTCCGTCAAAGGCCATCCGCGTGCTGAACCCCGAGAAAGACCGCGCTGGCCTCGCTGAAGTCCCACAAGTCGAATCTGCAAATGGTTAGCAAAGTATCTGTGTATCAACAACGCGATACATTACCAGTAAAGCCATGGCCTGGCCTGGCCGAAAAGTCCGTGTCCTTTTTGTTTGCGTGGACATATCTGAATCAAAGGTAAGCTCGGTTTCAAGCATCAAAGGCGGCACTCACTGAAGCAAAGTACTTCTGTCAGGGTTTTTCGTCAACCGAAGGGATAACGCTACGAACAACGGTGAGCAGGGAAAACTCCACAAGGAAGCAGCGCTCACACCCGCCCGCTCTTGCTCATTGGCCCCAGTCTCCTCCCTCGGAAAACGCGTCGGGGCGGTGATCTTGAGTGGTACACCTCCAAATAAGGTAAGAGAGTGGGAATATGATTGAAAAGAGATATATTGCTTACTTTTCTCGGGCCAGGACACTTGTGAGGCCGTCAGGGAAAGCGGCTGAAAGAGGCAGCAGCCTCAATATCAATGACCGCCGCAAACGTTGGGCCGCGCCGGAAAGCACGCCGCAGGGGGTCAATCGGAAAGATTCCAAGCTCGGCCCGAGTTGGCTTGATTACTCTTGGGCCCAGCATTGGCGACCAGCGAGTGAAAACGCGTCAGGCCGTGTCAGAAAGTAAGCCGCGGCGAATAGTAGGCAAGATGGCCATTTCGGCCCGAGTTAGCCAGTTCCTTCTGGCTCGTTGGGCCCAGCAACGAGCCAGCATCAGCGACCAGCTCGAGGAACGCGTCAGGGTGAGCGGGCGGTCTCTCGGAAGGAAAGAAGGTGAGCAGCACAGCCTTTCGGCGTCGATCGGCGGCACGTGCCCGTTGACAGCGGCCTTTTGCTCAACCGCCCGCCATGTCTGCCACCCCCAAGCTCGAAATGGGTCTCTCGGAGGGCATTGCGCGCTGCCGCGAAGGCAGGAAACGAGCCGCACTCAAGCTCTGACTAAGTACTCGACACTCTTGGGTCAATCCCGCAACTCTGGCGCCAAACGAGCCCGGGCCGCCTTGCTTGCCGCCCGCCACGACCCTATTGTCGGCTTCGTCTCCTGCTTCAATGCCACTCCTTCCGCGCCTGCGGCCATCTCCCCTTACTGCCGAAATCAGCGCTGAATAAAACTGTCAGTCTTGTAAAATTGTCGCTTACAACACACTCATTCACGACTCTGCCCCTCCAATCGTGTTGCCAACGTGCACGGGCGGCATTCCACCCTTCTGAGCGGGAGTCAGCGGCAAGACACCCCTCCTTTTCCGTCGTTTGCCACGGGCTCGACACTCCTTTGACAACGTCAATGCGATGGGCGACTCTGCCAAGATCGTGCCCAACTGGTCCACTGGCAAACAGTCAGTAAGATGAATACACGCAAGACGACCACGCACGTTGACGGCCGTCCATTCCTCACGACTAGTCGACTCGACCACGATGCTGGCGCCTACGCGACACGGTCTCAGCAAGATAACCAATATCAATAAACACGACTCACTTTGGCCGACCACATTTTGAAGACTACGGCAACAATTCCCGAACTGACGAGCAAGATGGAACAGGTCAGGCAATATTTCCGGGCCGTGGCGATAACTCACCTCGCCAGTCTGGCCCTTTCGCTTCCGAGCGCGCCGAAGTCAAAGTGAGAATATGAACTTGGGCGGCGAATGATGGAGATTAGATTTGAAGCCGTGCTGCTTTGGCACTATCCCGGCGCCCCCGGTTCGGCTGACCAGATCTTAAAGACTGCGGCAAGGAGTACTGAGCAAGATGCCGACAAAATCAAGAAAGCGACTCACCTGTCGCAACCACTCGCTGCCGAAAGCTATAAGGTATGTAAGGCCATGAAATCGCGTCAGAGATAACTGAACCTGAGAGGCACGGCAACAACGGCTTACTGAACCAGGTAAGAAACAGGGTGGGGAAAAACGAGCGGCAACTCACCTGCCGACAATGACAAGCCCGGCCCCGCCAGCTACCGAGCGCCGTCCGGAATTCCACTTAACAAATAAAGACCCATATATAACTCCCCAATGGCGGCGAGGACAGCGGCGGGGCGAGGAGTACAACGACGACACCATCAGCATTGACTTGGATGAGGAGGAAAGCGGGGGAGAGGAAAAGGGAGAGAACGGAATGATGGAAATGTCGGATTGGGGCTGGGTTTTATACCCAGTGCCCGTCGGCGCCGACATAAACGAGCTATGGTGATCGCTCACCGGATAGACGCTTCGCTGACAGTTGGACCTGGGCGATCTCGCCACTGAGGTAATAGCGTGGAATCCGGTTTTGTGGGAGTTAGAGCACTTTCGGTACAGGTCTTTGACAATTAGCTTGTGTAGGTACATAAGATATCATACTACTGCATGTTTAGACAAGTTTCAGACTTGATAAGACTCTGAAAGAGACCAAAGTTTGAAAAGTAAAGTTTGAGAATTGGATATGAAATACGACATGCCTGGACAGCGGAGCGCCCGAGTGACATCAGGGATGATGTTGCCATAAGGCCTAGAGCGTTCTATGCTGAAATGGTGCGATTTTCCCGCTGATAAACACGGAACTTTGGGGTGATGAATGAAATTGCGGCGGAGTAGGAGAATATTTGGGGAATCGGAAGCGGCCAGGTGGGATGAATGTTCCTTCACGTGAAGCCCTGAAGATTCGGATGTAATCGGCCCACTCCCAGGCTCAGAATCCCACGAATAAGCGAAATAGCGCACCTAGGCAATATCACATAGTGCAGGGGCTCTTTTCCCATGGATAAAAGTCTGGGTCGACAAAGCGCTTACGTAAGTATAATTCTTGAAAATTTGAGGGAAATCGGAGCATTTTTAGCTATAGAACAGCTGTTGAATGGAGAATTTCCCTTTTTGGTCGGAGGCGTTAGTATGCGATAAGATCACGTGACCGGATCGCGGAG